AACTGAAAGTGGAGAACCGTGCTTGACGGCGATTCTGCATTCATTTGCCATCAGTGTCACACAGCTGTAAAATTTCAGGATTGACAATCACACTTGACATGTAACTGTGATTACTCAAACACTCTAACACATATAGGAAAGCATAATGGAGTAGAATCTTGATAAACGTAAGTAGTTCATTAATATAATTTAATATGAAAATTGATTTGGTATTGAGCTCATCGAAGATTCTTGCCATTATAATCAAAATAAAGTTAGATCCTCTTATGAAAAATTGTAATATAAAATTACAATGCAGAAGTTCTAAAATCAAAACATTAATTTTATATTTTAATAATTTCTACCACTGAGAATATTTTTTCCAAGTTCTGCTTCATGATGTTACTTTCCATACTTATTATTGTGTACCACACTCATTTTGTTGGAGTTGTAAATTCATTTATAATTTGGAGTTCTCTTCAGTCATTAGTACTCAGCTAAAGCAATTAGGTACTATGTCGAATTCCCATTGTGTCAAAAATAGTTCTACAGGATAAAGAAAGCAGAGCTATAATAGCTCCCAAGCTACTCTGACAGTGTTAATAAAGAAGCTCCTTAGAAGCAAAATGAAGGTATGAAACTTATCTACGAAATGAATGGCATAACCGTGATTCCTTTGTGTCACTATATGATCACAGACTAAGGAAACAAATAACATCACATTTTTTAAATTTCAAAAATAACTGAAGATACTATTTCATGTAACGGTGTAATAATATTCAAATGTGAGAAATACATCATGGCTTTAAAAATGTGCCTGCATATTTCACAGTGTGTGTGTGTGTGTGTGTGTGTGTGTGTGTGTGTGTGTTCAGTGTCTCCAGAAGTCTGTGGCCTGTATCATCGCTCATGAGTAGACCCCGGCTGGGCACCAACAGGCTTTCTCCCCTGCCTCTCGCCTCTGAGGAGGCAGGCAGCAGAGGTCAGACTCACCGCGCAGCCGTCATACAGGGCTTTGATGTAAGGGTTGTTATCGTGCGACATCTCCTCATCATTTGATCCTAGGAAACGAAGTGCTTTGTCGTAATTTCCCGATGACATATCATACCAGGCCACGGACTGATGACAGTTGTAGGTGAAATTTTGCCGAGCAGAAGCCGTCAGAAGTTTTAGGAATGTCATTTGCACCATGTTAATGGAATTTCCCTCAACATCTACATACGAAAGCTGGAATAAAAGAATGCAAAGGCACATGAAAGCTCTTGCCCTCTTAGGAAGAATCAACCACTTTTGACAGCAAGCTACACATGCATGAGTCAACAGACCTACTTCAGCCCAGGGAAAAGATGGGGTTGGGGGACATAGAGAAGGGTTCTGGAAACCCAGAGTACCGCCAGGGGCCCCTTGCTACTGTAACCACTGCCAGCTGTGACAACAATCACTTTATCTCTGGCTTCAGGTTCCTAACTAGCAAACTGCAAGGAAACAGTGCTTCTGACTCCAAAAAATGTTCCATCACACTTTTCTTTTGTAAAAAATGTGATAATGAAACAATGGAATGGGAGGGTCTCAGTGCAGTGTTAAGGCTACATGGTTTATGGTGTTTGGTATGCTGGCTCTTCTCAAACCTTGCCTAATGTATGTATTCTGTCCAAATCTTCAGTCACATTCTTGTATGCATTATTTAGGGGCAATGGTTGTGTGAAGGGTCTAGTTGGAGTCCTCTAATATTCAACATGGACATGCCTTTGTCTTTCTGAGATGATGTGGGAATTCACCATTTGCCACCGCACCAGACGCAATGGCCAAGATAACACGAACCAAGGCTCCTTGAGTCAATAGTTTTGTATGTTTAGCAGGAGAAGTCCTAATGGTAAATTATTAGCACCTGTCCTGTAGCATTTTCACAGCTCATTTATTGGGTATAGTACCTTGGCATAGGTGAACTACACATATCTACAGTTTGAAAATTACTGTTTTTATTACTTTTTCTCCTCAGATTGTCAATGGAAGGCATCGATCTGTGACTTTCCTCTTTTACATCATTTTCCTTATTCTTTGCTGACTAGAAGAGGTTAAAAAATTCTATTTGAGAAATAAACTGTAAAGAAAATGAAATAACTCAAACTCAACACATGTAAACACACAGCTTAATCTGTATATTTCTTTAGCTCATAGACAAATAAAAACATAATATGAATATTTGATGCATGTCTTGAAGACTGATTAGATAGTTAAATCAAGTAGAAAACTTCATTAAAAATCAATGCAAATGGGTTTGTACAGGAATAAGTATATAAATTATCAATGTGAAATAATGGATTTTCTAAAAAATTGAGTAGTTGAATAATTATTACATAGACTTTAAATGGAATAATTACTAATTAAAAAGTAGTTCAAATATCTATACAGATTTTGAATGGATTAAAATATGAATTCAGTCTTGGTATTTCATCTTAAAATAACTTTAAAAATTATTAAACTGAAGTGGTAACTTTATGCAACTATTTAAGTAAATTTGCATTGTAGCCCAAGTAAAAGGTAGTCATTTTGCTATATTCTCAAAGGTTAACAATCAAAAAAATAAAACGCTGCACAGCACAAAAAGTCTTATAGAAATAGAGACCAAAACCAAACTAATTTTCAAGCATTCAATAGAAATAGGAGTCAGAGAAAATGGATGGATATTTTGTTCTTTATCCCTGATATATTTTAGCATAATCCATTTCATGACAATATCAAGGATTTAATGAACTTACTCTTTGGTAAAGTTTTAAATTACATTTAGTACAGAACCACTGGCTCTGACACAGTACTGTGGGCTGCTTTAACACACCACAGCGGTCTGACAGATGTCACCCGGAGGGACCCAAAAGGCACGCGGAATCCTTCTTAGTGTAACCCAGGTTTTCAGTCAGGACTGGGAAACCATAAGCAGCGCTTCCTCCATGCAGGTTAAGATTATCATTTCATTCTGAGGTAATAACATACCAGTTTTCCTCTTTTAAATTCACTAAACCAACTTCCTGGTTTCTCTTTTGGCCATGATGAAATTCTCACCTGTTGTAAAGGAACAGGAAAATTATGACTCTATCAGTGAAGTTAGCAAGACGCAGAAGCCCACAAGCTTTCAGACACTGCCTCCTTGGTGCTGTACGGCTGAAAGGAAGGGCGAACTCTGACAGAGTCAGCCAGCGTCAGGAAATGCGGACTGAGCCATTTCCTTCCCAATCTCTGTCCCTCCAGAAAAGATCAGGGAGCTACGTGGCGAAGCCGTTCCTGGGCTGCGGGGCACCAGTGGGCTCCATGGACCACCAGCACGGGAGCACTGGCACCGTGTAGCCGGGACCCCTGAACTGCTGAGGCAGGGCCAAGGGGGGCCACTTTGGAAAAGCCACTGGCAGGAAGAAAATTCAGAATCATCTGGAGATGTCTGTATATTGATTTTCTTTGCAACGATTAGCCAATAGAATGAATTTATAAGCTTCACCAAGGGGATTTTAAACAACCAGCATTAGAGAAGATATCTGCCACTGTTCTACCCTTCCCAGGGTTGACGGCTCAGCACTATCGCCACAGGTCAGGCGAGGTTGGGCGGCGGGAGCTTCTTGTTTCCTGCACCTATGCTCTGCTGTTAAATCACTCACAGCTTTTTTTAGAAAAATAAAAAGTACACACATATTACTTGCTTTGTCTTACCGAGTCTGTGCCCCTCTAAGTACATGCCATTTACTAAAGTGGCATAAAATAAGACAAAATGTCCTTCATGTTATTGTGTTAATTAAATCTTCCCATATTTAAAAATTTGCATTGAATTTAAAGAAAATGTAAGCAATAGTGATGTTATTAAGTGAAAATCAATAATTTGTTTGAAATTACATATTTAAAACATTTTAAAATACTCTTACTTTACATAAGAGACTAAATTTTCGTTTTAAGCATCTTAGGCAGCTGTGAGTTCTATCGGGTGGTAATTGGGCAGAAGACTACTATTCACTAACTCTAACTTGAAAGTTAGCTATGCTGTGTCAGAGAAAGTGGTAGAATTTGAGAGAGCAAGCAGGTGTCTAAAGAATATACAGGGTAGGAAAATAAAGGAAAGAAGCATTTGCTAACTCTGAGTATTACTTTGGTGCCTTATTCATGTTTATGCAAATGGACGTTCTAATTACTCTGTGAGAAAAGCAGATAAATGAAAATATGACAGCGTAACTTTCCTGTTTAGCTCAGTACTGCAGAAACATGGCAGGAACCGAAAGCGGTCGCCACCAACGCCGGCGGGTACTTACTCCCTCAGATCTTTTGTCTGGATAAATGCAAGTCTCACCACCAGATGTGAAATTGCAGTACACTTTGAAGGAATCTCCCGAACAACCTTGGTTAGGATCAATCCAATATTCACCTAGGAGGTAGGGGAAAATGTTATATGCAAATTCATCGAGTAGATATCAAATTTTATTAGAAAAAATAGGGAAAGTAAATAGTCACAGATCTCTTTCCTCATGTTTTTAGGCACTACGTTGTGTACTTGAATAGAGAAGTGACCTTAGGTCTTTTCCACCTCAAATCTTGGTAAGTGGCCCGTATATTCTATAGAATACTTTTTTTAGGCTTGTCTCATACCTATCCACTTTTAGGATTCACCTCAAACATCATTTATACAAATATTAATCTTCTGTTTATCCTTGTGTAACAAGATGCATGCAGATTAGAATCAAGTATTTGAAGCTTAACCTATGCACTCTATTCCAGTTTTGTAATCTGAGTATAATAATCTGTACATTTGCTCCTGGCTTATTCATCTCTAAGAATGGCAGTATTAGCATCTACTTAGCCTCTGAGATCAGACATTTGCCTTATTTTATAGTAAAACCTTATTGCAATGATATCTTTTTCTCTTTGAACAGGGTCCAGAGAAGGAAAGCCGCCCACACAGCTCAATCCAACTGGACCTCAGTGCCATCGAGGAAGGCTGCAGAACAGATGCTGCCTTGTGAGTCGGCGTGAGCACTCTCCTAGCATTACGTGAGCAACACGGGGACTAACTGGGCAAATGCAGCGTTCTGTACACGCACGGCAACGCGTCGTTACAGCTGAGTTATTAGGAGACACAACCGACATGCATCTGATAACTGCTTTGCTTTTGACTGTCATTGTTTTATGTTACAATGTCAAGTAGTACTTTGAATTAGTTCAACAGTCCTGAATTTTTTACTTTTTTAAAAAGTTTACATAGCTGGGTATGACAGCACATGCCTATAATCCCAAGAGTCTGGGAGGCTGAGGCAGGAGGACTACACGGCCACGAGCTGAAGCCCATCCCGGGAAACTTAGGGACTTAGTGAGACCGTGTCTAAAATTAAAAAATAATTTAAACATAAACCACTTGCTAGTTTATTAGGTGGATGACATCAGGCAACTAATTCAGCATACCAGAAACTGCTGCCTTCTCAGAAAAACGGATATGAAAAGATTTTATCAAACAAGTAAAATATTATCCTGATTATCATTATTAAGTAAGTTAGTTACAGTCATTCTGGTTATTTTGTTAAACTAAAAGATAAAACTTTGCCCCAAGTTAACCTGGATTTTTAAAGAGTTGACCTAAATTTTCTGGTTGATACAACAAATACTCAGAGATGCTTACTATTACATTGTTTATATTAGTATAAATTACCAATCACATCAAGTTATCAATATAAATTATATCAATATAACTTGAATCAGCATTAATTATATTAGCGTGAAGTAAACTGCTAACAACCCTTTGCCTGACAACTGTGTGCGTGTACACACGTACACACGCAGGACGTCCACTCTGTGAAGCGGTCACGGCAAAAGACCTCTGCGTTAGCTAGGACCGTCTGGAGACGATCTTGGCAGAGTCTTGAAACTTGAATTAACAGACAAGGATTTCCCAAGGCAGATCATCAATCAAGACGTGGAAACAACTTTTTCTGTCTATAAACTTGAATTAATAATGGCTTGCTTCAGTTTTATTTAGAGCTATATCCACCATTTAACTGCAACGCTCAGAGCTGACAGTGCACTTGCTTTGCCATGCATTATTAACATACCATCTGGGAAGTCAGGGTGGCTGAGCTGCAGGTCTTTGCAAGTCCGGGCTGGATTCGACTGAGTGCCCAGCGGAAACTTCATATGCTCAATGTCTTGCTTCAGGGAATTCAGAGAACCAAATATTTCCTCCATGCCATCCGCATAGTCCAGAAGGTTATCACCCGCATCTGACTGCATGTTTTCAGTGTGTCTTCTGGTTTTTTTGGGTGACAGGATAGGTAAAGGCTGAATGACCTCGCCAGGAGGACCCTGTAAGGAGACATAATGGGAGTGTAATCGTTTACGAAGTAAAATATTCTGAAAGTTTTGTTCTTGCCAGGATAGTTTTTGTTAGAAGAAATTATGGTTGGTTGCCTTGACTTCTCTCTCTGTCTCTGTCAGTCTCTCTCTCTCTCTCTTTGACTTTTTGAGACCATCTTGCTCTGCCGTTCAGGCTGGCCTTAAGCTCACTTTGTAGCCCGGGCTGGCCTCAAACTCGCAGCCACCCTCCCTCTTCACTATCCCAAGTGCAGGGACTACAGGCACGCAATACCACACCTGGCTCTGCTCTGACTTCAAAACCCGAAAAATACACAAGAGAAATAAAATGTGATTTCCTCCAAGAACAATCTAGTGGAAAGATTGCACACGTTGCTTGGCTGCTCACGCTTCGCACAGTCATGTTGTGCAGGCATGTGCTATGCTTGTTAGTCCCTTCCTGCTAGGTAGGCTTATTTTAATGTCTTATAACCACAACTATATTTTAAAGTCCCTGGAGATAAGAACAGCATTTTAAAGCTCTCAATCTATTGAAAAATTTCTGAATTTCATAATAATCTGAAATCCTAAATTTAAAAATATACACCTATTAGCATGCTTCAATTTGTATATTTTAAAGATTTATAAATTAACATTTTAAATAAACACAGGCTTAAATGTACATACATATATATTTATACAACAGTCTGTATTATTGTGGGTTAAACTGTACCTCACAATAAATAAGAAATTTAATTCCTAAACATCAGCACTTCAAAATGTGATCTTTTATGGCGAGGTCATTGAAGACATGACTACAGAAGACGAGGCCAGTAGGGTAGCATGGACTCCAGCACCACTGATATTAAAAATGAAAAATTTGGAAATAGAGGTACATACGAAGAAACGACCAAGCGGAGAAACAGAGGACAAATTTAACCCACAAACCAAAGAAAGGCTGGGACAGATATTCCCCACAGGTCCTTCTCCCACCAGGAGAAACCACCCTCACACCGGGACGTCGGCTTCCCAGCAGAAGGACACGCGAGGCGACTGCTCCTCTGTTCAGGCTGTACAGCGTCACGACAGCCGGAGCAAACACACACACATATGGCTTGCAACATTTTAGTTCAAGAAAGGTCACTAAATATTCTTTCAACGAGATATATTTAATTCTATCATTTAATAGTGTATGAAGCTCAGTATAAATCTAGTAAATAATAAAATCTAGTAAATAATTAGTTATTATTATTTTCTATACTGTGCACTAGAAAAAATGGCTAGCATCTGAAATTTTGGTTTTTTTCCTAGAGTCAGATATAAATTTATGGTGGTGGCATCATTTCAAAATATAACAAAAATAAATGATCCTTTTGAAAAACTGAAAAGATTTTCGTAATAGTAATTACATTATCTTTATACTAAAAGTGAAATAAATTCAAAGACAAGTCTTAGGACACAGACTTAATTGCCACAGTTAAATTTTCTATGAAACCAGAATTTGGACAGACATGTGGTTTGCATCTACCTCATGAATTCAGAGAAACCAAACCGTTTTTCAGGTACAGACTATCAGAGCACCACCCTGTTCACACGGACGTACCGGAGGCCCAGGAGGCCCTGGAAAGCCGTTATCACCCTTCTGGCCAGCGGGTCCCTGTTAGGAAGAAGACAGACTGGGCGTGAGAAGAAACACAACAGTGGGACAGGCGCCACTGAAAGACCTACTGGCAAAGGAGGAGTACTTACGGAGGAGCCTTTGTTACCCTTCGGGCCTTGGGGACCCTAGAAGCGCAAAGGCACAGCACAGATCAGAGTCTGCATCGTTCGTGTCTTAGGTCGGCATCACCCCAGGAAAGTCTTTTCCACTTACCGGTAAGCCAGGAGGCCCAGGTGGGCCGATGGGACCAGCAGGACCTGGAGCTCCCTAGTGGGAAAAGCATCTAATTTAATGTGGTTTATTTCACTATTCTATTTTCAAGATTAACATAAAAATATACATTCTAAAAGTTAGAGAATGTGAAAATACTTAGGCATAGGAGACAAAGCTTGCATTGGGAATCAAAAAGAATTTTAGGGGCTGGGAGATAGCTCAGTACCATAAGTGCTTGCCTGGCAAGCGCAAGGGCCTGAGCTCATTCCCCAGTTCTGCAAACAAACAAACAAACAAACAAATTTTAAAGTAACTGAAACAGGTTAGTAGAACAGTCACAATAATCAGTACTTTGCATACTGTTGTCTTCATAGTGGTTATTCACAGTACAAGATGCAGACATGATATCCTGTCCAAACACTATTAGTACAAATCCTTCTCATTGAATTAAGACAAAGTAGCTGTATATCTATCCTAACTATTTTGTAAATACAAATGAAGGGCCATTTTGTATCCTTTTATATATACGGAGGATACAAAATGGCCCTTCATTTGTATCCTCTTTTTTTTGTTTAGTTTAGTCAGAGGTGGGTATTCCATTGCCATTTAAATATTGTAGGTACATGAATTGAACAAAATAATCCCATAAAGTAGTCCATAATAGTAATGGGTTATCCGTAGGACTGGCAATGTCAGAAGTTGTTGACTTGACTTTACATTCAGCTTATCATTGGCTTTACTTTTTATACCTTGTTTTTATACTTCTGTGCTGAATAGTTAAGACCAAGATAAAGCAAGACCTGAATAATAAGAGATGTAAATTCTGTATCTGACAAGGTCAGTTAAATCCCTTCTGGATCTTGTACTCTGAATAACTACTATGAAGACAACAATATGCAATGTGCTAATTACTGTAACTGTGCTACTAACCTGTTTTGAAACTGTCTCATTGCTATTTGTTTCTCAATAAAATTAATAAAAAAAATAAAATGCTATTTTCTCTACAAAGTCTGAAACAGTAAGAGGTCAACAGGTTTTAAATAAATGTATTTTTATGAGTTAAAAAATAAAGTAATTGAGTATCTCTCATTTGCTATAAATTTTCATAGTAAGTCTATAATGTAAAGATTGTATACAAATATATCTTTATATCCTGCAGCCTATAAAATAACATTTGCAGATAAGGATTCAATACTTCTGAAATGTAATTTCTATGTTTTTAAGCTTAAATCATATATTACATATATAATGTATGTATTTTAAAGTTAAATAAAAATCTTTTTAAAGCACCACTGACTAAAACAGATTAAAGATGCTCTGAATTACTCAGTTGATCATGTTCAAGGGAGGGAAGGAAGGAGGGAGGAAGAAGGAAAGGGAGAGGGCAAGGGAGAGGGAGAGGGTCAGGGAGAGGGAGAGACGGAGGGAGAGAGGGAGGGAGGGAGGGAGAGAGGGAGGGAGGGAGGGAGAGAATTGCAGGAAAGGAGCAGGAAAAATCCCGACTTGGCTCACTCACCCCATCCCCCTTTGCTCCCGGAGATCCCTGAGTTCCAGGGAGCCCTCTGTCACCCTTTTCCCCCTGCTCTCCTGGAGGACCAATCAGGCCAATTAAACCAGGATGCCCCTTTGAGAGAGATAGAAAAGCATTAGTAACTCATAAATTATAGTTGTCATTTCATTCTAGTCATAAAATATTTGTACATCAAACACATAGAACAAAAGCAATAGAAGGCACACTAAGGTCACTGTACTGGAGGGAATGTGGAGTTCAGCTTCCGGGCCCACTTGACTGCGTCATCTGCCACTCCCACCAGGCCTGGCCATTATTAGGGATGAGGATATTAGGGAACAAAATGCTTTCTAAAAATAGCATCTTCAGTGTTTCACTGGAGGATCCCTCAACTTAAAGAGCTCATTAAAAACCACAAGTAATACTGATGAAATAAATATTTGAAAACATTTCAGTAAGAATCTCATTAACATACATAATCTTCTATTCTTAAGAGACTGCAATTTTTAAAAGACATTTAGAGATTTAAAAATAATTCAAGCAATATTAATGCCATTCTTAAAAATGCCTATTTTTTCCCTTTGATGCAACATAGTAGTATGAACCCTAGGAGATCCAATTACTACTTGAAGATATTTGTGGTTTGTTTTTTAGCTTTATGTTGAGAAACACAAAATTGGTCACTTTATCATTCCATCTGTTTATTTTCTGAAGACTTAGTCTAGTATAACCACATGTTCTTTCCATATGGCTCTTAAAAAGGAAACATTGAAAAGATGTGATACTGAAGTTAGTGCTTTTTTCACAATTATTTTCCATACTTTTTTCTCTAAATATGCCCGGGAGGCTGACAATTAGTAGCCCCCCACTGGCTGGAATGACCAAGATACTTTAAATTTCCTTGTGAAGGACTGTAATTTGCAAAAGCAATCGCTGCTCCTTTCATTACATCAGCACTGTAATAACGCATTCCTCTCACCTTTTCACCCTTGGAGCCAGGGTCACCTTTGAGACCAGGTAAGCCAGGAGGTCCCTAAGTAAGAAAAACAGAAAAACACACGACATGTTGTTACTTTCATGGAGCTAGGACAGTGGCGGAAACACACAGCCGGAAGGTCAATGCATAATGATGAATGCTAACTGAATTTTTAAGCTCTTATCTTAATCTATATATGTGAAACATCACAGTATAATTTGTGATGATTTTATTAAACTATAACATTGATCATTTTCATTAAGTATATGAGCTTAGAAAAAAGGCAAGGTTTACATGGATTTCAACTGACCACAATACATTTTTGATTAACTAATTTCAATCAGATATTAAATTATATGTCCATGCAGGGACTGGGGTTTGATCCCCAGCACCACATGCCCCGCTGGCCCCGCTCCCAGGCATGCTGAGCTGGCCACAAGGCGTGGTGTCGCACGCCTAGAATCCCAGCACTGGGGAGGCTGAAAACAGAAGGATCACCACGAGGCCGAGCTGCGTAGTGAGACCCTGTATCAAATACATAAAAATAAAAATTAAAAAATTATACATCCAGTCAATCCAGTAATTTGATGACAAATTCCATTTCAAAGGTTATAATATCCTTATTAAAAAATTTTAAACCCTCAAATTTATACCAGTCAGTTCCTCTCTGAAAACCACATGGGCCAGGGAGATGGCTCAGTAGAGTAAGTACTTCCCTGGCAAGTGCAAGGGCCCGAGTTAAATCATCGGTCCAAAAAAAAAAAAAAAAAAGAAAGAAAGAAAAAAGAAAACCACAGAAAAAATTACAGCAGGATTTTAATTTTTTTTTTTTTTTTTTTAAATTCCAATAGCGGTCTGCACGCAGAAGGTTCTTACAGTAAGACCTCTTTAGTCTCCACAGTAATCTCAGGGAAAGCACTATCTGTGTCCTCTAAAATGTGAGAGAGAACCTGGGAGGTTCAACTTGCGAAGTCCAAAGCTAAATTTCAAACCCAGGCGTGTGGCCCGAGGCCAAGACAAGTGACTATGGGCCACGGACTTCAGGGTGAGGACAAGCCAGCAGGCGGCGGTCCTACAGCCCGAGGAAGGAGAAGGACGACACTCCAGGACCTTCACGTGGGTTAGTGGGCTCCCGACGAAGGCACGCCTCTAAGATGCGGGCCATACCGACGCTGACCACTCCCAGGAGGACAGGCATGCACTGTGAGAAACGTTCTTTAAGTGACTCTGAAGACAATGGCCAAAACTTGTAAGTACTGAACTGAAAACCCTTACACACGAGTCGAAGTGGCCTGGCTAAGTCTGCTTAACTGCCGAAGAATAAGTATTTTAGACCACGTGGTATTTGATGATTTTTCTTACTCTTGAATACCAACAATATCAAAGAGACTTAGGCTTGGAAAACTGTGGGGAATCACCTAATGATTAGGATGCTATGTCGCAGAAGCATGGGAACTGCTATGCATTCTGAGAGGACTTTAAGATGATCAATGGTGATGTCATTCATTCCATTAATAATGAAACAAATCCAGAAACATTAATTTTATGAAATCACGAAGTTCACCAATGGAAGAAGCAAGAATTCAACCTCAAGTCTGAAGAAATCATGCCGCTGCCCTGAAGAATCCTCTCTTTCATCATATAACAGAATGAATCAAAAGGTAGGCTTTAGTTAACGGTTATTCACTACTTACTGCTCAGTATACATTTGCAGATAAATTCTTTAGTTTTTGAAATTTTCATAACAGTTGGGAATATTAGCTTTTACATAATCCCCAATGATGATAATTTCACTTGTAATTTATAAAATGAATTCCATATCTAAATGACTTATAATAACAAGGAACTATAATAGTCACATATATAATCATATTGTAATAACTCATAACCCAATGCTGTATTTATCCATGTATGTTGCTACATTTTATGAAAATTATGACATAGATCCAGAAACTAAGTCAGTCTCTCCTTTTCCTCATGAAAACACTCGACTGATGACCCTAAACAAACTTTTTCAATGCATAAATTGATGTATTACAACTTGCAAAGTAACACACAATAGGCTTCATTATCTGAAAATATTAAAGAATATCTACAAAGCAATTCATGTCACTGGGAGTCGGAATCTTTTTTTTCTTCCCCTGTGGTATCAGGGATTGAACTCAGGACCCTGCGCCTGCCAGGCAAGCACTTATTCTAAGACTCTGCTATCTCCTGGCCCTGGAAGTCTTGACATTAAAAGGTGATGTATACATGCGACTCAGGCAAAGAAGGCCAAGATAATTCCCAGCAGTCACTAAACAAGGCACAGGCAACAAAGCACACACCTCTGTGCCTTCTGTGGCCTTCAACTGTACTGACTGAACTAAATTATTTGCTGTTTTTAACAGATTTTGATCATGGGGCATAGGAAGCAAATGGTTTTACCCTCATCAATTTCAATCTTACGTCATCATCATTTTATCTGCCACTAGGCCACCAGGAGTAATTTTTTCCCATACTACAGCAGCTGTGGTTCTTCAGGATGAAAGGTTTCTTAATGTGCCAGCACACGAATTTTGTGAATTTAAAACACAAGGGGTATGGAGCTGACCCAAACAGTGTGATGCAGGGCAAGCCGTGTGGGTTCGGCAAAGAACAGGCCTGGCTAAGACGCAGTCCTACTGGAAAGTGGAGTCAGCTGAAAGGACATCGTCTGCTTTTTCATTTGCAAGCTGGCAATGACAGCTCCCACCTCAGGAGGCTGCTGGAGGACGGGTGGATGAGCTGCCACGCTTGCTCTAGGTCCCCAAGGCCTCACGCCGTCACAGTGGGCTTTGCAGAGGCGGCTGGAGCCAGAGTGTGTGACGTCTGCACTGACTCACGGCGCAGCGCTGGGGTCACGGGTGGGCGTGCTGGCGGCCAAGAGGCCTGCAAACACGAGGCGCCAGAGAGCCGCGCGTGTCCCCTGCTGCTCTGCTGCTGCTTGTGCTCCATGAACTGCTCTCTTCTGTGATGCCACCCTGCCTTGGAGCCAGCCAGCTACAGACTGAAAGCTCTAAATCTGTAAGCTGCATAAACTTTTTCCCATTTAACTTTGGATGGCTGGGAGTTTCATTTCAGCAATGAGAAAGGTCTTTTCATTCCTTTGTTCACGAACCCTCTTTCTCCAAATGAAATGCTGTATATCAGAGTGAGAACAGTATTAATATTCCTTTGTAAAAGTATTTTGTGCCATTTAATGTATTTTATACTGAATTCATAAGTGAATTTCAAATTATGTATGGATATAAAAGTGGGCAATTTATAACTGCACTGATAGGGATTTTTTTCCCCACACAAAACACAGTGATCGAAACATAGGTGAATGTCCACGTTTAACAAAATTATTATTGGGCCTGGCATATAGCTCAGTGGCACAGTGCTTGCCTGGCATGCAGGAGGTCCTGAGTTCAATTCCTGGTACACACCCACCGCCACACACAAATATTATAGTGCCACTAATTCCCTTCAAATCCTCCCCTTGCTTCAAACACACTCATTCAATCATTTCTTTCCATTTTCCGAAGCTTTTCTGGAAGCCCTGCTTCCTCTCGAGGACAGTGAGGAGCGCTGCCAGGACTGCTGCTGTGGAGGGCCATCCACAGGCAGGCGGGCAGAAAGCCCACGTGGCTCGTCTCCACGCAGCCTCCTCCCACTGCCGGCGCTTTCCTCGAGCCAAGGGGGCTGAGGGGTAATCGGCTTGAACTGGTTCCGACGTCCCTGCAGCCCTGACACTGAAACTAAGAACGCCGCTGAACCAAGACGTTCAGGACTGCTTCGGAAGCTGACGGGATAATGAGATAGGTGAGAGGCAGCCAGGGGAACATCCTGCCCAGGGTGCAGGCCAGTGGATCACAGGCACTCCAATAACACTGTTTTAAAAATGTGAATATTCATTTTAGCTTTTTATCATCCCTCCTCATGCTGCAAACTCTGAAGTTCTTCATGCGCCTAACAATATTTTTCTTTTCTTTTTGGTGCAGGGTCTCACTACACAGCTCGGACTCCTCGTGATCCTCCTGCTTTCAGCCTCCCACGCGCTGGGATTACAGGTGTGCACCACCACGCCTGGACTCATCGCTGGCTCCGTGCACCTGCGGGCGGGGCCGGCGGGTGTGAGATGCCAGGGAGCGAAACCTGGCCCCTGCACTCGCCTGAGCAAGGGCTCAGTCTACTGACATATCTTGCCGGCCCTAACAATATTCTTCTAATAAGGAAAAAGTGTTAATGACCAAATGTAAATCTATGTCAGTGAAGTTACTTTTTTTTTTTTTGTATGGAAACAAGCAATCATGCTTTTCTTAGTTAAATCACAAATGGACAAATAGTAAAATAAGAGAGTTGCGCGTCCACCTGAACCCCCTGAGGTGACCTCAGCTCGGCACCACCTCCAGCTGGCGTGGCACCTGTGCACCTGCGGGAAGCCACCCTGGGGCCTCAGCTGGTAGGCAGCTGCAGGCTGCAGCCCAGCAGCTGCGCCGGGCTCCGTGCTCACCAGAACTCAAGCGCTGCCGAGTGGCTGGACTGGTGATGAACCAAACCGACACAACAAGAGCAGCGCGAAGAGCCTGACACAGTAAGCTAATGTGACTTCTGTCGACTGTCTCACATGTGGGCGTGTTTTGAGGCAAGTGCTCGCTATAAAATGTAAGGCGGCCTTGAACTCCCTACGTATCCCAGGTTGGCCTCAAATTCCTCCTGTCTCAGCCTCCCTAGTCCTGGAGCTACAGATGTGCACCACCCCAGCGGTGCTACTTATTTTTTCCTGATATTTTGTGAAATACCTAGTGAATCAGCAAATGAGAAAAAAGAAAAACTGGTAACGCTGGCCATGAGCATCTTGAAATAATTTTACTCAATTCCCTAATGGAATGCTTAAGAAAACGGTAAGAGTGTAGCAGGAACAGTCAAGCAGAAGCTTCTTGCGGTGATACCAGCAGAGCAGGCGTCAACCCGGTGTGAGCACCAGGCAGCACTTAGACATCTGGTCTCACAGTGCTAAAACTGTAACAGTAGAAAAGACACACACGTACCAACGGCAGACACTGAGAGTACCAGTTAAGCTCGACATGTGGGGAAAAATCAATATAAAATCAGATTAAAATAGATAAGCCTGTATTCTCATTTTTAAATCAAACTCTCAAGTACGTGATTCACTTTACAAATTTTGCTATATGTGAGAAGACTGATCCATATTGCTTGTTGGTCATCAGCATTTAACTCACTTTATACTCCACAAATTATTGAGTCTATCATTTATTCTTTGAAATAATCTAAAAATAACTATGTCTTAATATTATGGTCCTGAAAGAAAAATCAGGCTTACAAAATCTACACAATTTTTGAGTGACACAGTGTTAATTATTAGTTTTATTTTATTTATTTATTTTTTTAACTATTATTTTTATTTTTATTTTTTGTGGTACCAGGAATTGAACTCAGGACCCTGCGCTTGCCAGGCAGGTGCTTACTCTACTGAGCCATCTCTCTGGCCCTTAACTATTAGTTTTAGATGTGTTACAGATATATATCAACTTTCTCAACTCCCTCTGATAGCACAAGCCACAATGACAAAAAGGGCAAAAATTGCAAGTTGAATTGTTCAGGTTTTTTAATGAATACAGTATACATTATTTGTATTTTAAAAGTATTTTAATTCCCCTATAAATACTATTCATGAGTGAGTTAGAAGATATTAAATCCTATAAATTAATAAACTCTCATGAAATTACAGACTCTATATAGGGGCGTATTTTCCAGGGAAAATCAGTTTCATGTTTTCATCAGCTGGAAATAGATACTGGTGGTGGTAGGGATTGAGAGAAGGTATAAATATCCCTCTGAGCCAGGATCAGATCAAAAGCATCAACTCTGCGTATAAACCGGGTACTCCAAGTATGCATGTTTTCTCTTTCCTCTTTACAGTACTGTAAATTGAACACTCCAGGGAAATGCATAGTTCATCTGCAGTGAAGAGGACGGAAAGCAGGGACCTGCCGCCGAGCGTCAGGAATGCTCGACCACGCATTCCCGTCAGCGCCTGGCTGCACGGCTCTCCGCCTGAATCTGCACCCCCAGCTCCAGGGCACTGGAATTCAGGAAATCAGAGAGGCCGTGCTGCAGAGCGTGCATAAAGCGGAGAAACAGCGCTTGCTATGAGACAATGTGGCACAAAACAAACGCGCTTTTTACCAATCATTAGGGAGTGCTGTGCTGTGCAACCTTGTTTACAGAGTTTAAAGGTAACATTAAAGACAGCATCGAACTATAACTCAATAACTCATCTTACATTATATTCAGACTTTTATGTTTGAAAAAGAATGCTATCAGATATTTTATTTATCATTTTGTAAAAGAGAATATATGACAATATTAAACTTATCTTAAGAGAAATAGTGAATAGTTTTCAGCTACATATAGAAAGAAATCGCTTAAAACTGTTTATTGTGCTTTCCAAAGAGTCAAATGCTATTTTTTAATTTTTATTTATTTAATTTTATTTTATTCTTTTTTTATGTGGGGTCTCACTACATAGCTCAGACTCGTAGTGATCCTCCTGTTTTCAGCCTCCCCAGTGCTGGGATTACCGGCACGCGCCACCATGCCCAAACTTGTTCGCTGGCTTTACACGCCCTGGGGGTGGGGCACGTGGGATTGGGGATCAAATCCTGGTGCCTGGGCTTGCCAAAGCAAGCACTTAGTCTGCTGAGCCAGCTCACCAGCCCAATACTAATTTTTAAAACTCATTCTAAGCCATCAGTTCTTATTTTGCAGCAGACAGAACATAGCCACCACGATCTTCTCTGTAAATCACTCAACACTTTAAGGCGGCTCTGCTTTACTGCAGTCTGAAGAATCTCCCTTTGCCCCTGCACTCAGTTTGAACCTAAGGCCTTCACACTAAGCCGCATTTAAGCAAAAACAATTACACTGCATTACAGTCCGTATGCCTGCCTTCAATTTACTGTGTATCGCAGGGTGGCCTCAAACTTGTAATGATCTGCCCTCCTGCCTCTGTCCCTCTGAGCGCCACCCTCACAGGGCCACACCACCAGTTCCTGCTTCTGTGCTGCTTTGATTATTCCTTCTCTCATAACTGTTCTGGATAATGAAGTGAAAATATCTATACTATGATATAGGATGCATATGGTTGTAAGTAAATACTGATGTATTTCTAATAATTAGTGTAAGACAGATTATTTATATAAGGCAGATTATTACACATTTATGTTAAAGATCAAATCCTGTCTTATCACTCTCCTTTTAGCAACGCAGATTTGGAGTCGACAATAAATTGCATCCATGAATAACTCAGTGGTCAGCTAACATGACTGCACTTCGCATGCATGCTGTCCTCATGTGAAGTCTGGGCTGGTGACCAACATTTAATGTTATAATAATCACAGCTTTCTTTGTAACGGTGTTCAGCATCGGATTTTTCGATCTGTACGTCTCATAAGGAGAGCAATCCAGTCAAGGTTCACTGAGTGGCTGTGCCAGCCCTGCGCTTTTCAGTGCCAGGGAACACAGCGTCATTTCACGCACTTCGGGGCAAGGTCTCTACTAGGAAAACTGGTGGCTAGGCCACCAAGGACGTTTTAGTAGAATCGGAAATTTTTTTCATTTAAAGGATGTAACAAGGAAAATCATAATCAAATGGCATATTTTCTGTATACCTATCAGTCAAGATTATTTTTCTGTATTTAGGGTTCAGTTATGCATTTCCTTGAATATTATATAAAACAAACTTCCTTATAAGCTACAATTTCAAGAATTCTCACATACAAGAATTGTGTTTCAGAACTCTCTTTTAAAGTATAAGAAGATGGGGTCAGGGAAATGGCTCAGAGGAATAAGCGCTTCCCTGGCAAGCACGAGGATCTGAGTTCAATCCCCGGTTCTACCAATAAATAAATAAATAAATAAATAAATATAAAATAAAATATAAGAAGACAGTACTTACTATAGGACCAGGTGGCCCATCTTGGCCTGCAGCTCCAGGGAGACCTTGCTCTCCCTGCAGAAAGGAAAAAAGAAGATTATATCTTACTAACAAAATAATACGCATTTTAAATAAAACTGGAAATACAGAAGCAAAGGAAAGCAAACACAACCTGCTGTCGCACATGAAGAACATTTACAAACACTACAAGCGAGTCTGTATGCTCGTATTCTGGTGTACATGCCTACAGGCAGGTCCACAGATGCATTCGTCGATAGAGACACAGATTCATCGCCAGAAACAGAGGCATGCATGCACGTATTCCACCCTTAAGATGTCAAGACTTACTTTTTATTCTGCTTTTACAAGTCTGAATTTCACCAAGCACTTACTACGTGACATACTTAAATATTTTAAGAAGTATATGAATTTATTGCCTAACACTGAATTCTTATTATATTGAATTCCTACTAATAATATCAATGCTATAGGTTATTAAAAATACCACCATAAACATATTTATTAATAATTATTTCAGAAATAAACTGTCACCAGAACAGCATATTTTAGCACTGTTGCTCACCACAGGGCCAGGGATGCCCCGAAGTCCTTCTGGGCCAGGCTTCCCAGCAGGGCCCTGGGGACCCACAGGCCCAGTTTTTCCAGGAGGGCCTTCAGCACCTGCTTCTCCCTGTTAGAAGACAAAATATACAAACAGATGCAAAGGCAGAGAACGACATTATGCTACTTCACGAGGCATGCTGAAGTGCTCCTGGAGGTACTCGTGACAATTTCCAAACGTCCAACCCGACAGATGTGTGTTACCTTAGCCCCCTTCTCGCCTTGTCTTCCCTCCGCACCTGCAGCTCCGGGAGGACCCTAAAACACAAGCGTGAATCTTAAGTAGGTTCACCATATGAAGCTCATGCAAATAAACACTTATTTACTAATACTCCAATGTAATCTGCAGCAGACTCCAGCACACTGTAGTTTTCTAATGTTATTTGTTTTGACATGAGATGCAAACCCCACAGCGTTTATGGGCAACTTTGCACATGGATGAGTCAACACGGAGACTGATCAGCTCACAGAGAAGCACACCAGAAAAATGCAAGTGAGGAGGAGAAGAAGAAAAGCCCACAATGCGGATGGATTAAAACAGCTACTGAATGTGAGAGTCATTATTATGTTGAATTAGTGGGAATTAAAGCCTACGCGTATTTGAAGAGTGGCATCTTTCTTAACCTAAGAACATATATATGTTCATGTATTTTTATAAAATCATGTCCCAGCCTAGGAAACATGACATTTAAACATGATGTTCAGTGAACAGAATATTTTCATTTTTGAAAGTACAGCAGTGCCTGGCTATTTCGTGGTTTGACTTTTGTAGTCTGTTTTGTGGGTTTTCAAAAAACATTAATTTAAATTATTCATTGCCGGGGAGATGGCTCAGCAGAATAAGCGCTTCCCTGGCAAGGGCAAGGGCCTGAATTCAATCCCTGGTTCCAAAAGAAAAAAAAAAAAAAAAAAACCTTATTCATTGCAGATTTTTTGCTATATTGTGGGATTTTGCAATACCTACAGTATACATATGTTGTTAAAACTGCATTGGTTTACAAGTTTGGAAAATGGTCAAGAACATTAGAAGTGTTTTTTAAAAGTGCAGGAAAGATTTATAAGGGTGTTGGAAGGATTTATAAAGCCTTAATATATACTGAAATAAATATAACATCACTACTTTGCTGATTTTCACCCATCGCGGGGCTGTATGGAACGTTAGCAGTGAGGGGCCACTGCATGTGTCACAAAAATAAGTAGCAGTTAAAATGTGCCAGTTTTTGCAACACAGTAATAGAGTACAATTTAAAAAGTTACAGAAAGATGTCACAAAAAAGGTAAGCAAAAAAGATGGAGTCAATCTTGTTTTCTTCGTGTTTCAGGTTGCTCCATGACTGTCCTCTGAACGCTGGATTTGGCAGGAGCGAGCAGGCACAGTGATGCCGCTTCACGAGAAGGCTAAGCATGAAGACAACCACCTCTACGGCAGGGATCGTCTTAACACGGCTGTCTACGTGCCAGCTTCATCTGGTCTTTTTGGGGGGTGCTGGGGACTCGAACTCAGGACCTGGTGTTTGCCAACCAGGCTCTGTGCTGCTGAGCTACGTGGTCCTTAAATTCACATTTCAAGTGAATATCAATTCATCAAATACCGAAAACTCCGCAAACTCGTTTTTTTTTTGAACTGGGGATTGAACTCAGACCCTTCTGCTTGCCAGGGAAGTGCTTGTTCTACTGAGCCATCTCCCCGGCCCCCGCAAACTCATTTTATTTTAATAAGCCCATGAAAACATTAGTGAGTATCCTTTATTATCAAGACTATAACCTCATGTGTTACTGCGCATTCAGTGTGCTTCAACATAAAAGTGATGCATAAATTCTATGAGCAGCGTCCCAACGTGGTACCCATGTATGAAATCATGCCCCCACACATAACCACACATTACATGTTTTAACTGTTATTAAGATGTCTGTATCATTCCACAAACTTCCATTTCTTCAATGTTAAAATGTAGACCTATAAAGTATCTTGATGTGATATTTAAAACAGTAACCGATGCAAAGTACCAACATCAATTATAACTGGTTTTATTTCTGAAGTATAAGTAATGTAATTCAGTGAAATAATACACTACCCTTATTTAACGCTGATCATTTTCCTTTAAGACAACCGCATGAATATGCACACTTGCAGCATCAAAGTACCTCTTTTACAAGCTACACTTTAAAGATTTATCTATATATGCTTTTTGAAAAGCAGCCAAACACTAGCTGCTTAATTTAGAAATTACAGGAAAAACCCCTTTTCCTGATAAAGGACAAAAATAAAGAATCTGAATTTGAAGTTCCTGAGGGTTTGACACAACCATACTACAACATAGTCACAAAAATGTTATTAAGGTATTTCTCTACCCCAAAAAGTGAATTCTCTGTGAACAAGTATCTGTCATGATAGAAATTTTTCGCTTGAGTTCATTTTGTCATTTCCTTCTAATTTATCATAATATTGCCTCTGAGTGGTAAATACGTGTGTGTGTGTGGGTGTGCGCGTGTGCCTGTGCATGTGTGCACAGAAAATACTCAAAAGAGAAATACTATATAACGCCTTGTGGGGGTGAAAGTCTCCCTCCAAAGGGATCTGCTAGAAATCTAACCCCAACGCAGCTATGTTAGACGCTGAATTCCAACGGGAGGGGAGTGTGTGTGTGTGTGTGTGTGTG